CCCAAATATGTAATATTAGAGTACCTAAGATATACCCCAAGTGCATTTCTAGGGATATGGTTAACACATGTACAATGTCTCTCAAGAAAATGGGAATTGGCAGCAGATATATGCTCTCAACAGGACATGACAGAGGGATTTGGCTCTTTATAGAATATTGCCTGAAGAAAGCAAAGGTCAGGAGAGAACTGAGCAAGGCAAAAGGTGGCTCTGCCAAAGGTGTCAAAATTGGGGTGAAATTGTGTGATGCCCTATGATCCTAATTTTTTTAAAAAATAGGTTTAATTTCTAAAAAATCATGCAATATGTATATGAATTTATGTTTTCATGCATGTCTTCTAATACATGCATGGCATGTAGTTCTCTCTTATCTATTTATATTTTTATTTATGGTTTTAAGAACCTTATAAAGCTCAGACAACAAAGAGGAAGCAACTCTTCACCTACCCTTCTTCTTTCCTGAAGTCAAGAGACATTTGAGTTTCTACCCTATAAATTATTTCAGATATCAAAGCTATGAAATTATATTGAGACATTTATTATTTTTAAAAGGTTAGGCATACAAAACATATCATGGAAATGCATTCCAACAGAAAGACCAGAAGTATACTCAAAAATACCAGTGGTAATATTAAAATTAAACATACTTAATTTTTATATGTGTTTGGTAAGTATAAGAGAGTAAGCCTTATGGATTTATGTTTGTAGAATGTTCTTAGATGACCTATTTAGATGATGATAGATAAACCCCAAAAGGCTAATGTGTGGGTCACACATTCTCAACTTCCATTATATTGTATAAAGAGCCTCAAATAGTCAAACAGAGGTTATTGAAAAATGAAGTTTCCTGTGCTTACTTCAGATCTGCTCCATACAGAGAGCCATATAGGGTCTGGACATTTCAATAAGTATAAAATACGTGTGATTTTGTTGCATATGCAAGGATTCTTTTCTGGAACAAATTATCTTTTTGTTGTTATTTGTTTATTCTCCAAGGCAGTGATATCCTCCCACATTGACAATGTCTTCATATTGCAAAACAAGAATATTTCTAATGCAAGCACCAAACAAACTAAAAAAAAATTTAAATATTTTGGATATAAAAAATGTAATTCAGGAGATGTAAATTGTGTCCAAATTAAAATCCTTTGCAGAACATTGACTATAACAACAAAATCAAACAAAAAGAATTTTAAAATGAACAAAGAAGGCTGATTGAGACTATTTGGTGTTTAGTGTTCAAGTAATTAGATAAGGGCATCATAATAGTCATTTGGGGAATCATAAAAATATTGCCGAGTCATCAGTTTTCCTTTCCTCCTTCAGTTTACTATCAGTTATCTGGAAGCATGATTTATAAAGAAACAATAGCAATATTAACCAAATTTACTGCACTTTTTTCTAATAATGATAGTAACCAAAATATATTTTATTTTAAATAATGCTATTAGCTGAATGAGGCAAATATTTCAATAACTCCATGATATGATATAAATCTGAGCTATAGAGTGACTGAATAATTTGTGCCAGGCCACACAGATAGTGAGGTGAGGAGCTGAGTATGCTTTTGTAACCACTGCATACTGTCTTGTACCTATGAAACAGGTAAGAAGGAAGAAGGGAAAAGGGAAAATAAGAAGGAAACTAGAAAAAGAAGGAGGAATAAAGGAAAAGAGTTGGAAGGGAAAGTGAAAAGAAATAATATCTTTGGCCAACTGAAAAAGCAAGCAAAGAAAGTCTAAGTAATGCCCGTTACCCCAAGTCTTCTTTTCCCTGAGCCTTGACCAGTCTACACTAGCTCTCTGTGTGTGTTGAAAGGCTGAATGTAGTACTTCAGCTGCACTCTCTCTTGACTCTATCCTCCAGCCACAAGCCCTTTGGTGTCCACATGCCTCTGAAGGAACTCTGCTGCTTTTTAAGGTCATCAGCATAAACAAATATGTGCTAAAGAGCTGACTTATTACTAAGAAAGGAAATGGTTTGAGCTATAAGCAATTGACATGTACATTTGGACATATTTTTGACAATGCTCTAACTTGAAAGTATTTTAGAATTCATACTTAGAAGATATTCTGAGGTAGGCAAGAACTTCAGGCACACCTACAACTTTTACTCTTTAAAAGTGGTGATTCTGACCTTTAGAATTATATATATATATATATAAAATTTTAAAGTGCTTTACAGACAATAAAACACCTTCATTTTGCATAGTACATTAGATCCTCAAATCATTCTATGAGGGCAAAGTAGTAGATAGGCTAATATGTTGGAATTTTCAGGTAAAGAAACCAATTGAGAGATATCAAAGAAACAGGATTAATAGGTACAAAGCAAAGACTTAGACCTAGACTTCTAAATACAATCTCTTCTCATAGCTAACTTCCTAGGAATGGCAGTAACTCTAAAGGTCCTAGATTTATCCAGTTTAAGTTCAGCACTGAGTTGCTCTTGCTAATGAGATTGGAAATGGTGTTAGATAATCTATCTCTATGAACTACTCTAATGCATGTATTATTTTTTTTTTAAATCCAAAGTAAAACAAAAACAATAAAATCTAGAGTTCTTTTCAGAATCAAGGTAGTTTTTTCTATGCTTGCTGACAAACATCGAAGGCAATGAAATCTGTGTGCAGTATGCTAAATAAAGCCAAAGTATGGCATGAGTCCTGGTGTGGTACTGTGGGTTAATGCGCTAGACTGCAAAGTTGTTTGAACCACAAGGTCAGCGGTTCAAACTCACCAGCCAGTCCTTGGAAACCCTATACAGGGTTGCTATGGGTCAGAACGGACTCAACAGCACTTAACAACAACAACAACAAAGGGAAGATAAATACCTATTTAAGAGCTGGATTGCAAGGTCAGTTTGAACCACAAGGCTGGTGGCTCAAACCAACCAGCTGTTTCTTGGAAACCCTACACAGGATCACTATGAGTCAAACCAACTTGATGGCAATTAACAGCAACAACAACAAAAGCAGTAACACAATGTTAGGGGCCTAGAGAACTAGTTTGTATTGATAATCCCTAGTAAAAAATGTTTCACAATATCCTATAGTACCTCCTTTATTTGGGCCCTTCACACCTATTTGAACTGTATGTTGACACACAGAAGGGTCTTTTCACTAGGGGTATAAATCAACGCCAGTATGTGTCTGTAAGTCTGTACAGAAAAGTAATTGATTAAAATTGTGGAGAAAAGGATATAGAGTTCTGCCTCAAGTAAGGGAGTCCTGGTTTAGCACTATAGGATAAGCACTAGACCGCTGACCACAAAGTCAATGGTTCAACTCCATCAGTTGCTCCTTGTAAACCCTAAACACGTTTGCTATGACTCAATGGCACTTAATAACAAGGTGGATTTTGTCCTTCATTCTGACGAAATAGCTGTTGGAGTAATAAGAACACCTTGCTATTGGACTTCCAAATCATACAAGAGAATTTGTGCTGGTGAGTGGGGACAGGTCAGACCAGCAAAGACTCACTCACCTGGGAGGCTGATTTCTACTAGCCTCAGGTGGCATGATTTAACATATAAAGCAGGGCTGACACATAAAAGACAAGAACCCTAAGGCTCAAAGAGTTTTCGGGTTAAGATGAACATTTGCTCTATGGAGGAGAAGGGTGGTACTGTATCCCTTGGGACATGGAAACTCCATGTTGGGAATCCTTGTAGAACTCACCCTACACAGTCCTCCATTTGGATCTTTGTTGGCTATAATAAGTTGGCTGTCATAAGTGTAATAAGTACTGTATGCAAGTATTCTCCATGAATTCTGTGAGTTGTTTTAAGGAATTATCAAACCCAACAGGGCTCTGAGAGTCAACTGGTCAGAAGAATAAGGAAACCATGCGGACTCCCTAGCTTACAGCTTGCATAGTGAAGAGACAGAACCAAATCTGTGGCCAGCCTATCAGAAGGTCAGGGTGTGTGTGACTTCCCAACTGTGTAGCTGGTGTCTGTTTGGCAATCTGAAGTGCAGTGGGGGTTTTTTCACCCCTAGTGAAAATATTTTAAAAATCTACATTTCTTTTTTTTAATCAAATTTTCAGAAAAGTTGCAAGACAAATACAATAAACTCATTGACCCTTTCCCTATGGTCACCTGGGGGTGGCATTTGGTGACATTTGCTTTATCTCTGTGTGTTTCTTTCCTTTTAGATTAACCACTTTAGAACAAGTTGTAGATTTCATGGCCGTAAATACTTCTGATGCATCTTCTAAGAACAAGGATTTTCTCTCTTCTTTTAATTTGTGAGCTCTGATTTTGTCCTGATTACCTAAGGTCAGAGAGACAGGATGTAGCAGGGAGCAGCTGGCAATGAAGACAGAGAAGTAGGAATGTGAGAATGGTCTATCTCCACCTTTTAGGGTTTGGATAAATGCTGATCCTTACTGTGCATTGACTATACACTATGGCAAAGTCCATTTCTCTCAGTCAGTTTCATTCTCCACCAAAATCCACTACTTTATTCTTAATCCCTGCTATCCATTTCTGGCAAACAAGCTATTTGTTGTATGAACTGGTCGGATCAGGTGAGAAGGTAGTAGAATAGTTTATAACCACAGCAAGAGATATTCTGTCTCTCCTCCCAAACTGCTGCCCATGATAAGCAGCACTGCCACCTGGTGGTGGTGGTGATGTGCTGTGGAGTCGGTTCTGACCCATAGTGACCCTGTACAGGGTTTCTGAGGCTGTAAATCTTTTCGGGAGCAGAAAGCCTTATCTTTCTCCTGTGTAATAGCTTGTAGTTGTGAACTGTTGATGGGCCATGAGATTAGCAGCGTGACTCATAACCACTACATTACCAGAGCTCCTTATCACTCGAGTACTGATTACAAATGCAAACTCTCACACATCAGATCTACTGAATCAGAAACATAGCACTCAGTTCAAACAAGCCATCCAAACACTTTTGGTGCATGCTGAAATTTGAGAACTTTTAAGTTGACAAAGAAAGATATTTTTAAGTACATAGTGAAGTTGAAAATATGACTCCTTACCACACGCCCACATATCCACTGGCTTTCCATAAGGGTCTTTACGTAAAACTTCTGGAGAAAGGTATCCAGGTGTGCCAGCAAAACCTAGGAAAAACACATGTTGATGAATTAGAACCGACCAGACAAAATTAACATATGAGAAAAGAGTGAAAGTAAGGAAGAAAATCTTGTTTAATCTTCTTTATCTGCTTGTCAAAATAAAACAAGTCTCTGAGTACGAAAATAATGTCGAAATACAGAAATATCAATACTAGCTTCTTCTTCTATTAAGAAAAAATAAAATTACATCTTTTTTTTTTTTCCAGATATGAAGGTCATTGTATCATTCTGCACAGTTACTGCGTATGCTAAGCTCATTTGGTTAACTGTTTTTATTTACTTAGGAGTTAAATCTAAACCTGGTTTCTTGATAAAAGAAATGTTCTATTATGGTTCTGGGACCAGAGGAGGGGTAGGTGGAGGAAAAATTATTCACAGGCTAGAGGGTAGACACCTGCTAACATGAGTGATGAGGCAAGCAATATAAAAGAGAGAGGTTAACAGAGGAAAGATGAAGGTCGAGGGAGACTCAGAGCAATGCAAGAGTTAAAGTGAAAAGAGGTAAATACTGTTAACTTATGGTACCTAGAAGGCTTTGTAATCCTTGAAATAAAGCAAAGTATATGATTTGTTGGAGTCCTGGAGTGGCACTGTAGGATGAGCATTGGACTGCTAATCGTAAAGTTGAGGATTCAAACCTACCAGTCACTCCCTGGAAACCCTATACAGAGTTGCAGTGAGTTGAAGCTGACTCAACAGAACTTAACAACAATAATATGATTTGTTGAATGTAAAACTAATGATCTGCTCCATAATTATTCACTCAATTCACAATAAAAAGCTAAAAAACAAACTAAACTAAATCTGGAAAAAAAAAA